CCGCCGGGAAGAAAAGGGGGAAGGGGGGGGGGGATAGAGAAGAAAAAGGGGGTAAAAGAAGCGAGAGTGGGAGATGGCGAGGGGAAAAAAACTAATATTGCTCCTCCATCTGCGGCAGCCCATCTTGTATCCGGTCGACCATATTTGTCGGGCTCTGACGTCGGCAGTTCCCTCTCCTCCCCCCCCCCTTTCTCCCCCTCTCTTCCCCTCTTCCCCCCCCACCCCCCTAAATATAATCGCGAACTCATAAGGCAATTTAGGCCGATCCACTCAGGTGGCGGAAGGTGAAGTGGGGGGGGAGGGGGTTCGTCTATCTCCTCCTATCCCCTATCGTAGCTGAGAGGGCTTCCTCCTCCTCCTCCTCCTCCTCCTCCGCCTTCTCCTTCTCTTTCTCCTCCTCCTTCTCCTCCTCTTCTTCCTCCTCCTCCTCCTCCTCCTCCTCCTCCTCCTCATTCTGCTATAGATGTTTGGTCTTCTCCATTCTTCTTTCTTTCTTTTACGTTCTTTTCGTTCTCTTTTCACTCCGATTTTCCTCCTCTATCTCCTCTACTTCCTCTTCTCTCTCTCTCTCTCTCTCTCTCTCTCTCTCTCTCTCTCTCTCTCTCTCTCTCTCTCTCTCTCTCTCTCTCTCTCTCTTCTCTCTCTTCTCTCTCTCCCACTTCCTCTCCCTCTCCCTCTCTCTCTCTCTCTCTTCTCTCTCTCTCTCTCCTCTCTCTCTCTCTCCTCTCTCTCTCTCTCCTCTCTCTCTCTCTCTCTCTCTCCTCTCTCTCTCTCTCTCTCCTCTCTCTCTCTCTCCTCTCTCTCTCTCTCTTCTCTCTCTCTCTCTCCTCTCTCTCTCTCTCTTCTCTCTCTCTCTCTCCTCTCTCTCTCTCTCCTCTCTCTCTCTCTCCTCTCTCTCTCTCTCTCTTCTCTCTCTCTCTCTCTTCTCTCTCTCTCTCTCTCTTCTCTCTCTCTCTCTCTCTTCTCTCTCTCTCTCTCTTCTCTCTCTCTCTCTCCTCTCTCTCTCTCTCCTCTCTCTCTCTCTCTCCTCTCTCTCTCTCTCCTCTCTCTCTCTCTCCTCTCTCTCTCTCTCTCCTCTCTCTCTCTCTCCTCTCTCTCTCTCTCCTCTCTCTCTCTCTCCTCTCTCTGTTGGTGGTTCTTCTACGCTCTCTCATCCCCCCCCCTCTCTCCTCCTTTCGGGTTTTCTACTCTCCTCCTCCCTCTCTCTCTCTTCTCTCTCTCTCTCTTCTCTCTCTCTCTCTCCCCTTTTCTCTTCCCTATTGATTCTTCGTGATGTTCCTTCTCATTGCTTCTTCGTCTCCATCCCCCATTGCTTCCTCATTCCTCCCCCCCCACCTCCTCCCCAATCCTCCTCCTCCCACCTCCTACCTCCTCCTCCCTCCTCTTCCCTCTTTCTCCTCCCTCCTCCTCCTCCCCCCATCCTCCTCATTGCTTCTTCATCTCCCCTCTTACTCCCTACCCCCCCTTCTCCCCCCCACCCCATCCCTACCCCCATGAAGCTTAATCTAGGGCAGGATATGACGCTGGATGTGCAATCTTGCATATTCTGCACGGAGATGAGTTTGCAGCCCGCGGCCACGCACTCGCTTGCTCTCGGGGGGGCGGGGGTGACAAGGCGCGGTGGGGGGAGAGGGGGAGGAGGGTGAATGTTATGGCAGGTGTCGATTTTTTTGTCTGTTCAAAGTGTTTATTATTTTTTTCTTCTTTTTTGAGGTGGTTTTACTTTTTTAAGGTGTTTTAGGGTCTTCTTTTCTTGTAGTTTAGTTAAATCTTGAGCTTGTTGTTTTCTTGTTATTTATGTATTTATTTATTTAATTTTAGGCGGAAAATTGTGTCGATAATGCGATGTAATTCCCCAGTCTCTGGTTACTGAAGAACAAAATACAAAAAGGAAAAGTTTTATATAATTATGATTCTAGAGATAAAGAGAGAGAAAGAAATATAAAATAGTATATTGTTATGATAAGAGAGGTAGAGAGAAACACAAAGAGAGGGAAAGAGAAAATAGATGAAAGAGGGAGGGAGAAATTAAAATGGGAGAGAGAGAGTAAGTGATAGGAGGAGGAGGAGGAGGTCGAGGTGAGGAAGAGATGGACAGAGACGGAGACAGAGAATGAGAGAGAAAGAGGCAGCGAAAATGATATAAAAAGGGAGAGGGAGGGAGGAGGAGGAGGAGGAGGAGGAGGAGAGGGAGGGGGGGGGGGAGAGAGGGGAAGGAGAATGGGAAAAAAGTCTGTGGGGACACGGGCGGCTCAAGGGGACAGAGACTGACCGAGGAGTAATGGGAGCTGTCGAAACGCAATCCTTGTTTTCCTAAGTGGTACGAGGAGCCTCATTTGTCCCCACCATCTGTACCTGTCGGAAGGGAGGGGGGGGGGGGGCGTTGGAGGGGTGAGGGGCGGAGGGAGGGACGGACGGAAAGGGAAAGGGTGGGAGAGGGGAGGGAGGGTAGGGGTGAGTGGAAGTGAGAAAAGGGGGATAGGAAGGGGAAGGAGAAGTATGAGTGGAGTATAGGAGAAAAGGCGAAGACGAAAAACTAAAAAAAAAAAAAAAAAAGGCAGAAAATAGGGAGAAGTAAGGAAGAGGAGGAGAAGATGAAAGAGGAGGGAGAGGGAAGGGAAGAGGGCAAGAATTAAACCTTTCCTCTTAATTAGGGAAGATTAGGTCATTAGGCCAAATCGCAACATTAAAGCCTATGGGTCGTCATTACTGCCATGCCACATATTGCAAAGTGGGAGGTGGGGGGGGGGGAGTCACAGGTCAGGAGGGATATCCTTAAAGTGAGAGATTATAGAGCGCAAGGGATGACAGCACGTTTGCTTGTTTGTTGTTTAAAAGCACCGTGGCAATTGCTTGTGTTTCTTCATTGTGCTTGTTACTTGCATACCTTTGTATTTCACTATGATTATTTTGTGTTGTTTTACTACCTCTTTCTTTTCTTTTCATTCTCCTCCTTGTCTCTCTCTGTCTCCATTCTTCCCTCTTCTTATTTTTCCCCCCCTGTCTCCTTTCATTTTCCTTCTCCTCACCTTCCTTCTCCCGTCCATTTCCTCCTTCCCACTTTCTTCTCCCTCTTCCTATCTCTCCTCCTCTCTCCTCCTTCCCCCTCTCCTTCCCTTTCTCCCTGCCTCCCTCTCCAACTTCTTCATCCTTACCCATTCCCTCTCTCCCTCTCCCCGTCCTCCTCCTCCGTCCCTCACCCCTTCTTTCTCCCTCGTCCTTCTTACCCCTCCCCCTCTCCCCTCCCCCCTCTCTCTCTACCTCCCTCCCTCTCCCTCTCCCTCCTCTCTCTCCACCTCCCCCCCTCTCCCTCTCCCTCCCCATTCCCCCCTCCCTCCCCCCTTTCCCCCCCCCTCCCTCTCCCTCTCCGCCTCTCTACCTCTCCCCCTCCCCCTCCCTCCCTCTCCCCCGCAGGTGTATCATATTTGTTATCTCTGATGCTTCTTGATAGCGATCGCGCCAGACACTCACTGTTGACCTTAGGGAGTGGTTACGCCCGGGATGGCAGGGAGGGGGGGGGAGGGGGAGGGAGGGGAGGGGAGAGGGGGAGGGGGGGATGATGGGGACTGCAAGGGGAGGGAGAAGGGGGGGGAGAGGGGGTGAAGGGGTAGATGGATAGGGGGGTTGATAGGGGGAGGGAGAGGAAGGATGAGGGAGGGTGGGTTGGGAGGGGTGATGGGGGGGAGGAAGGGGAAAGGGGGAAGGAGGACCTTTCTAGCTTCCATTGCCACCTTTGTTGCCTCTTTCTTGCTGTTGTCATCGTTGTTGTTTATCTTTTCTTGTCAGGAAAACACATTACCCACCACCGACATCCTCCTCCCCCTCCACCTTTCCCCCTCCACCAACACCCCTTCCCCCTCCACCAGCGCCTCTCCCCCCTCCACCAGCGCCCCTCCCCCCTCTACCAACACCCCCTCCCCCTCCATCAACACCCCTCCTCCCTCCCCCCTCCACCAGCGCCCCTCCCCCCCTCTCCCCCCACGCCCGCGCCCACTTTCCGCGTGTCTCCGCCCCCGACACGGCCAGTCACACCTGGAGACGACCTCTTGGCGACCTTGTTCACCCGCGGCGAGGTGGCCCGACGACCTTATCTTGTCCGAGTCGTTGTTCTGGCGGGGACGAGCGTGACCCCGCCGTCTGCAGCGCAAAGACGACTCGGTTGTGAGACGACTGTGTTAGGATGACCAACCTCAGGCGATTCAGTGAAGACGACGCACTTCTTCACTAAGACCGACCTCATAAAACAACCCATTTAAGACGAACCCCCCCCTCCCGCCAAAGGCGAGCGAGGGCGACCGAACATACAGGACGACCTACGGTACGACTGCGATACGACAGCGACAGGGAAATAAATCGCGAGAGCCAGAGAGAGGAAATGAGTCGCTTCCAAACCGCTGGCAGAAGGTGGCAGGCGGCCGTCGGGAGCTGCTGGGGGTGGCCACGACCCTGTGATGGAGGGCGCGCCAAGGAGGTGGCCGTGGCGCTCAGACGTTTTTTTTTTTTTTTTTTTTTTTTTTTTTTTTTGGGGGGGGGGTGTGGTCGGGGCACATATGTGGATATATTATTTATTACTTCTCCGAGATACCTTCGATTTTTTTTCCCCACATTGATTTTTTTTTCTGTCTGTCTTTTATATTTTTATTATACTTATTATTATTACTATTATTGTTATTATTATTATTATTATTATTATTATTATTATTATTATTATTAGTTTCCTCTGTAGATTCAGTCGGTGTAGTCGTTTGTAATTTTTTTCTCTCTCTCTCTTCGTCCGCTGTAGATGCCCCTCAGCCTTTTTCTTCTCCTTCCTTTCTTCTCCTATCTTTCTCTTATCCGCCCCCTATAGATATAAATTAACTATTTTGTAAATATGATTCTAATTTTCCTTCTCTCCTTTATTCTATTTGTAGATGTTATTCTATTTTTTTCTCTCTCTCCTTTCGTTAGCCATTTTGTAAATATGATTCTAATTTTCCCTCTCTCTCCTTCTTCCGCAGATGCACCGTCCAGTCGGCGTGTCAGAAGGCGACCTTCTCGTCCCCTCGCTGGCTCAGCTTCGGCTCGGGGCAGCAGTGCATCGACTTCGAGATGATTCTGCCGGATCGACTGCCGATCGACCACGAGGCTTCGTCGGGTTCCGGGGAGAAGGTACGTGCGTTCAGGGTGGTGGGGGGAAGAGGGGGAGGGGAGGAAGAGGGGGGAAAGGAAGGAAGGAGGGAGGAGGAGGGGGAAAGGAAGGGGGGAGGAGGAGGGGGAATAGGTGGAAGGGGGAGAGGGGAAGGGGGGGAGATGAAATTGAAGGGAAGAAGGAAGGGGAATAGATGAATGAGGTTAGGAAAAGGAGGAAGAAGGAAGGGAGAGGGGGGAAGAACAGGAGGAAGAAGGTGGGTAGAAGAGCTGGAGGAAAGGAGGGAGGGAGGAAAGAGGAGGGTAGGAAAGTAGGAGGAAGAAGGAAGGAGGTAGAGGAAGAAGCAGAAATGGACGAAGGAATGGAAATGGGTCTCCTCCGCCTTTGGTCAGCCCATTTACACGTGGTTCGTGTGCCCCCCTCGCCCCCACGCCCCCTCGCCGCCCTCATGCATGTAGACGTGTAGATCATCGCCTTCGCCGGAAAGGTCGGGAAGGTCAGCGGGCGAGGGCTGCTTAAGGCAACGGCCGGGGAGGAGGATAAGGAGGGACTTGTTACGGTGACCTTCAGCGCTGCACCTTACAAGAAGGACCACCGGAGCCGATGGAGGTGAGGGAGCGGGAAGGAGGGAAGGCGGGGGAGGCAGGGAGGGAGGGAGGGAAGGAGGGAGGGAAGGAGGCGAGAAGGCGGCGCGAGGAGACAAGAGGAGGTAGGTGGAGGCAGGAGGCGAAGGGGCGCGAGATCCTCTCCTGGGTGTTCCTGAGAGGAGCCCGGCTTCGTGACGCGTGGGTCTGGAGCCTGCAGGGGCGCCCCCGTGTCGTCGCGGTGGTCCGGCGGGGGCGTGTCGAGGTGCGAAGTCGGGGGTGGGGAAGGTGAGGGAGGCCCCCCATGAGGGCCCTGCCGAAGAGGTCTCTCCCTCGAGGAGACCCGAAGGAGCTCACGGCGCCGCGCCCGTCGGAGGAGGATCACGAGGGAAAAGCCTAATTGTTATTTACATCTTCGAAGAACAATTCGATTAGTACGGCTGTCCTGCGGAGGGTTAAATAAGGCTGACGCCCCTCCCCCCTCTCCCCTCTCCCCTCCCCTCCCCCTCTCCCCCTCCCCTCTCCCCTCTCCCTCTCCCCTCTCCCGTCCGTTGCAGAGGGAAGGAGGGATCAGGGAAAGACGTGCCGTCACGCCGATGGGGGCGTCGTCGTCGTCACGTGCCCATCCGTGCCACATGTCCCCTCCCTCCCTCCTTCCCTTATCTCATTGTGGTGCCAGGCAATTAAGATGCCATCACACGCGCACGCACGTACACACACATGGATCCAATTTCCCGAGCCATTTCGAGTCCTCGCGGGGAAAGTCCAAGGCGAAGGCACTACGCTAACCGCCTCCTCTCCTGCCTTCCCCTTTCCCTCTTCCCCCTCCCTTCCCCTTTTCCTCCTCCCTTCCCCTTTCCCTACTTCCCTCTCGCTTCCCCTTTTCCTCCTCCCTCTCCCTTCCCCTTTTCCTCCTCCCCCTTCCTTCCCCTTTTCCTTCTTCCCTCTCCCTTCCCCTTTCCCTTCTTCCCCTCCCTTCCCCTTGCCCCCTCACCCCTTCCCCCCTCACCCCTTCCTCCCTCTCCGCCACCCTCGCGTTCCGCTAGTCAGGTCGCAGGCACGAGAAAATGCGGCGACGTCGAATAAATTGCAAGAGCGGAGTTGAGCGTCACATTCCCCGCATGCCGCGCACATCTGCCTGCGCATTCTCCAGTCATGCCCGGGTTTTGCTGGTGGTCCCGGCGTCGCCTTTTCCCTCCCCCTTCCTTCTTTGCCCTCCCCCTCCTCCCACCTCCCCTCCTCCCCTCCCTACTTTCCCTCCTTTGCCTCTCTTCCCTCCTCCCGCCCTATACCCTCTTCCCCCTCGCCTCCTCTCCCCTTGCCTCTCTATGGCTCTTCTCCCCTCTCCCTCCCTCCCTCCCTCTCTCTTCCCCTCTCCTCCATCTCTCCCTCTTCCCCCTCCCTTCCCTCTCTCCCTCTCCCCTCCCTCGTTCGTGGTCTCGGTCTCCTTCTTTTCGCCCATTTTCTCTTGATTTTGTCTGCCTTTCCACTTTTTTTTATCACTTTTCGCTGCCATCTCTGAAACTTCTTTTTATTTTCGTATTCTTCTTTCGTCCCGTCGCAAGTTTGATATTCTTTCTGCACTTTTACCTTCCTCTGTTTTTTCCTCTCTTTCTCACGTATTTCTTTTCCCTTTCCTTTTTTTTCTTTACATTTGATTCGCCCTTATCCCCTTTTTTTCATTTTTTCTTGTACCTCTCGTCTCTTCTTTCCTTTAAAAAAAAGTAGACAAAAGCAAGGGAAATCAGAAGAGTAGGAGGAGCGAAGTAGACAGACAGGAGGGGTTAGATGGTGGGGGTGGGGGGCTGGGGAATGGGGGTTGAGTAGGGGTCCTCGGATGAGGGTTGAGTGGGGATCTACGGATGGGGAAGTTGGGGGATTAGTGGGGTTTGAGTGGGTGTCCACGGATGGGGGGGGCGGGGTAGAGTAGGATTTGAATGGGGGGGGATGTCTACGGATGGGGGTTGAGTGTGGATCTGCGGACGGGGTTGAGTGGGGGTTGGGGTGGGGGCTGGGGGGGTGAGGGGGAAGTCAAGCGTCCTTCGTTCCCTTCCCGGATTTTCCCGTAATGACTTGATCGACGGCGACGCTTGTTCTCCGTGTCCGCGGCGTCGCGTCCCTCGGAAGCCCCGTCACCCGCCCTCCCTCGGGCCTGCCGGCGCGGAGGCCACGGCCAAGGCTTGCCGGCGAGGAAGGAACTGTTTAGAACCGGTGTTGTTTATCTGTTGGCCCTCTGTATGCGGCTCGAAGGACATGACAGGGCTGATGGATGGGCGGAGTGGGCGGGGGGGGGGGTGATGGAATGGGGTGTTGGGAGGGGTGGGGTGGGGTCAGTAGACGGGGAGGATAGTGGGGGGGTGATGGTGAAGTAGCGGGGTAGTAGAGATTTAAGGGGGGGGGGGTTGAGGCGGGTGGTGGGAGGGTAGGAGGAGGGGAGGAGGATAGGGAGATAGGAGAGTGGGAGGGAAGGAGGGAGGGAGGGAAGGGGGGGAAGAGGGTTATGAGGATGTCACTCACTCTCCACAACAATTTAAAGGTCCTTTTGGCGTCCTGTGTGGTGGCTGCTCTCGTGTTAATGGGCGTTGAGGCTGACGGGCGCTGAGCCTTGCCTTTATTTGTTTTCTGTGTAGTTGTTGGGGCTTCGTTGTCGTTTTTATCTTTTGCTGTTTGTTTTTTCATTGATGTGGATTTTGTTCATCATGATTAGCACTGTTATTAGATTTCCTTTTTCTTCTATTCTTTCTTATTCTTCATTTTTTTTTTTTCTTTGAGTAAGTTAATTTTCGTTTATTCCTTTATATAACATTTTATCTTTGCTTTTAGGGACATTAAAATTAGTGATAGTATCAGCGATTCTAGCTCTCGACGTCGGTGCAGTGCCATGGGGTGGGAGTGCCACAGTGCCACGGATAGATACAGTGCTATGAGGCGGGAGTGCCACAGTGTCACGGATAAGTGTAGTGCCACGGGACGGCAATGCCACAATGCTACGGATAAATACAGTGCTATGAGGTGGGAGTGCCACAGTCCCACGGATAAGTGTAGTGCCATGCCATGGGGCGGGAATACCACAGTGCTACAGTGCCACGGGTAATTGCAGTGGTCGTGTCACAGTGGCACTGAGAATGATGTTAAGGTTCGGGATGATGGTCACTTCAAGTGGCAGCGGGAAGCCCCTCGGCACGCCACGGCCCGGGATGCCACTGGGGGGGGGGGGGGGTAGACTGTTGTGGTTGGCGTCTCGTTGGGGTTGTTTATGGGTTGTAGGAGGGGGGGGAGGTGGTGGGGGGGGAGGAGGAAGAACAGGAGGAAGAGAAGAAAGAGGATAATAATTGATAATAATAATGTTGTTGATGATGATGATAAGACGACGAAAGAAGAAAGAGAAAGAAGGAGGAGAAAAAAGAAAGGGGGAAGGAAGGAGGAGAAAGCGAAAGGAAACCAGGAGTGGAAAGAGCAGGAAAAAGTATGAGGGAAAAATGAGGGAAGAGAAGGGGAAGAGGAAAGGAAAAGGTGGGAAGCGTAGGAGGAGAAAAAAACAAGGAAGGGAAGAAGAAAGTTTAAATAGAGCGAAAAAAAGGAAGAAGAAAAGGGGAAGAAAAGGAGAAAAAAGAGGAGACAGAGAAGAAGCAGGAGGATGAGGAAGAGAGGAAAGGCGGAGATGAAGATGCAGGAGGTGGTCCCTCGCGGCGCCGAAACACAGAGCAGCGAATTCACGTGATTCACTCGACGGCCTCGTAAGTGATAATGCCTCGTCCCGCCACGCAGGCCTCCTCCCCCTCCTCTTCTTCCTCCTCCTCCTCCTCCTCCTCCTCCTCCTTCTCCTCCTTCTCCTCCCCCTCCTACTCCTCCTCATCCTCCTCCCCCCCTCCTCCTTCTTCTTCTCCTCCTCCTCCTTCTCCTCCTCCTTCTCCTCCCCTTCCTCCTCCTCTTCCCCCTCCTCCTCCTCCTCCTCCTCTTACTGGCTTCTTTTCTCTCTTCTGGTTTTATCTGCCTTTCTATATCATGTCTTTATTTTTCTTTTCTTCTTCTTCCTGTCTTCGTCTGCCGTTTTTATCTGCCTTTTCTTCTTTCTTTATCTGCTTTGCTTCCTTCTCCTAGGATTGCTATCTCCTTCTTTATCACGTTCCTTCCTTCGTCTCATTCGTCGTTCTTCTCTTGTTGTTTTCTTTATCGTCTCCATTTTTCTGGATTCTCCTCCCTTCCTTTTTCCTTCCTTCATTCCTTTCCTTTATTACTCTTTCTCCTTTTTCTTCTTCCTTCATTCATTCCTCCCTCTCCCTCTTTCATCCTCCCACCCCCCCCTCCCCGACCTCTGCCACTTTTGCGGCGGGCCGGGGGCGTGCAAGATTGTGCAAGAGAGTGCAACATGGCGTGAGTCCGTTGCAGCGCCGGGTGTTCGGAGTGGCCGCTTGACCCGCTGCTAATTGTGATAA